TTTTAAGCGGGCAAAATCTCTTTTCCCTAATTGCCACATGTCATATTTCTCTAGGAGTTACTAACTCTGGCAGCAAACAATTAAAATAGAAATTTGTCAGCTGTGGTAGTATTTTTGCCTTCCAGAATTTTTCATTTCATAAATTAACTAAAAACTAAATTATAAACAAAAACCTACGCCTCAACAACAAATTAAGACGATTAGAATAATTTCGCACCTCTTCAAAAACAACTACCTATTTTTCGACATAGGAATTAACAAATTTAACTAAACAGCAGCTACCCTTTTAACCACGGGCTTCATAGACTAGCAGCGTTGCCATATTCACTGGTATCCTTGTTTTAATAGAATTAGTATCGGAATGAAAACTATTTTTTTTTACAATTTTTTTAACTGCCTCAAATGTAAAATTGTTTTTTGGCGGAGGAGCGCCCGTCATGTTTGCTCTTAAGTGAGATACTATTATTATTGAAGTTTCTGTACTCTAACAACGTAGATATTTCAGTGGTAAAATTAAGGTGACGACCCTATATATTAAGCAAAATAGAATGTGCAGTATTTATTCGTGTGTTCGGTTAGCTCATGGTATTTATTTACGGACCAATTTGCAAACAACAACTAAAGCCAGTTGCATCACGGGAATGGACATTGGATAAAGCTTTACAATTTATGAATAATTCCAACATAGTGGAAAGTTCAATAGATATTACGCTTAGATTAAAGAGACCGAAGATGTACTATTGCACACTGCGCATGTTGTCTATTTTAAGCCAAAGTAACCCACCAATTGAAAATCATTGTTGCACGACGCCACCCGAATTGCTCCGATCTCCATTCAGCGATCACACATCCACCTGAGTTTAATCACCATTGACAGCTGTTTTTTGATTTATTTGTTGGTATTTTAGCAATTTAAAGTGTTCTAGTTATTCAATTTCAAGTTCAAAATGTCACGATGTATCTTGAAAAATTGTATGTACTTATAATACAAGTACTATTGTTATGAATATATTCGTTTTCAACGGTAAATATTTATTAACGTTTTGACATAAAGCGCCATGATTCTCTGGGCTGAATACTTCAGATCCGCATTAAGGGGTTTCAATAAATATTAAGCATCAGAAATCAGTTTTCATATTACTTACATAAATTTACAAAAGGGTAAAATTTTGAAAATTTAATTTAAATAAATAGTAAATAGGCATTATTGCTAACGAAATTTTGTATTTAAAAAGTAGTTTTATAAGAATGTTTTCTAAAGGTAGTTTTTAGCTCTTTTTGGTAAATAAATGAGAGGTAAAGAATCATAGTTGCTAGCTAAATTTTATTTTTATAAGGTATTTTTATAAGGTATTTTTATAAGGTATTTTTATAAGGTATTTTTATAAGGTATTTTTATAAGAATATTAGATGAAATACAGGATGACCTACTTAAAATTTCAAGGTTCATCTTATTTGCAGTCAAATCGAAAGTGACATTAAATTTTCAGTCTTAAAACAAAGTAATCTAGTATAAGCAAAAAAAAATACTAAAGTTACAGGAGTTAGGTCCGATTCCACCGTTGTGTTAAACGGAGATTAAAATGACAGTGTTAATGTAAAAATGTCATTTTAAACTTCGTTTAACACAACGGTGGAATCGACCCTTAGTCACGTTAATAAAATATTACATTACAAACCCCTAAACAACTCGAACATAATTTTCGTTTACTAAAAAAAATCCAAAATTTAGCAATATTTATTTATTATACAATCGAATGCGATTTCAAAGATAACTGGATCAAAAAATCCGAATCTCTAAATTTTGGAGCTAAATGCTCAGATAAAAGCAAGCGACCGATAGGGGTTACAAAAATAATCGATTTATCGATAATTCTGATATTTTTTAATGAAAATCGATTTATCCGCTGTTATTAATAAATTATTTTCGTTTTTTTTAAGATAATGTATTAATCGATTTTAAAGGAAATACAAAAAAAGTAGATTTATTCAAAATAATCGATTTATCGTTTAATCGGTTTTTTAATTATTTGATTATTTTCGATTTTTCAAAGATATTATATGAAAATAATCGTTGAATATAAACGGTTATTTTACATAATTCGATATTTTTGTTATTTTTTTAAAATTATCGATTTATTGGATAATCAGCTTTTTAATAATCAATTATTTTCGATAATCGAATAATCAATTTCAAAGGAAATATGAAAAAAGGATTATTAGAAAATAATAGATAATTCGTTTTATTTTTTGGAAAATCGATTTATCATAGAATCGGCTTCTTAATTAATTGGTTATTTTCGATTAGGCGATTATTTTGGAATTATTGATTATTTTTGGTATTTCAAAGATAATCGAATTATCGATTTTAAAGGAAATACAATAAAAATAGATTATTGATAATAATCGATTGATCGAAAATAATCGATTATTTAAAATAATCGATCATTCTGTTTTTTTTTAAAATCGATTTGACAGTTAATCGACTTTTTAATTAATCGATTATTTTTGAAATACAATAAAATAGATTATTGGTAATAACTGATTTATCATAGAATCGGCTTCTTAATTAATTGATTATTTTCGATTAGGCGATTATTTTGGAATTATTGATTATTTTCGGTATTTCAAAGATAATCGAATTAACGATTTTAAAGGAAATACAATAAAAATAGATTATTGATAATAATCGATTGATCGAAAATAATCAATTATTTAAAATAATCGATCATTCTGTTTTTTTTTAAGTCGATTTATCAGTTAATCGACTTTTTAATTAATCGATTATTTTTGATTAATCGATTATTTTCGATTTTTCCAAGATTATCGAATAATCTGTTTCCATGGACGAAAAAAAATGGTTTATTTGAAAATAATCGATTATTTAAAATAAACGATAATTCTATTTATATTATATTTTGTAAACACTGATTTAACGGTTAATTGGCTTTTTAATTAATCGATTATTTTTGATTTTTCAAAGATAATCAAGTAGTCGATTTTAAAGGAAATTACAAAAAATATATTGTTTGAAAATAATCGATTGATCGAAAATAATCGATTATTTTCAATGATCGATAATTTATTTCGATAATCACTAATCCCTAGCGACCAAATGACTTTTAATAGATTTAAATTTTAAAATGTTATCTGGTTTCAGACATATGCATTTCTAGAGTTTTATGTGACTCATCCTTCATAATAATTAATATTCTTAAAGAAAGAAGCCTTAATATACTTTTTTCTGAGGTTACAATACAAAACAGCATTTTCTCATTTTGACTAATTTTTAATAATATGTAATAGCCGTAGAAAAAATATAATGTTCAACTCATAAGGGTAGATTTGCAGTATTAGCCTGCGCACATGCTATTTTTATAATACTCGTAGACAATGAGTAACATTTTTTGCTCTATTAACAATATATTCTATTTCAACATTTTACTGTAATCTCTTGCAGAAAAGTCCGTAGTAAATAAACGCTAACGAAATATTCTATAAAAGGTCTTCTCTTTACATAAAATGTCGTGGCTTCTGTTTGATATTAAAAAATCACGTTAATTTTATTTCATAATATAAAATTCGATTAAACACATTTTAAATAAACCTAATAGTTCATTAAGATGCTAATAAACAAAGTCCGGTCCCTGTCACAGAGTTCGGGTCGCCGCGTGTCACCGCCCAGTTCCCCCACTCCGTTAACCCTTCTTTAGAAATTGGCAACATTTGCGCAGGTTTAAAACCGGTGTATGTTATATCTCTGGTCTCTTTTATCTACGATATTACGCTTGTCCTATATTAGAAATAAAATACACATACGAAAAATTGTCTCGTTTGGATTATTGCAATATAAAATTCAACTACAAGAGCCAAGAGAACGATTACCGGTGCAATAAGGGGAAGAGGCTGTATAAAGAACGAACATATTGGTTATAAGACAAATGAAACTTCTACTTATATACGTTATTTGAGGTAAAATGTAGGAAAGACATAAGAGAAGTAGTTTTCAGAGCAAAAAGAATAATGAAAAATTGTCTTATATGGAGTATTACAATATCAAGTGCAAGTACATGAGCCAAGAGAAGTGTTTTACTGGCAATAAAAGGACCATGTTATATAGGAAGTTAGAGACAATGTATTATCAAAAATAAGTAATTTTTCGAATGTATTTTATTATGATTTGCATAGCAGGTTTTTCAAATGATTTATCAATAAATTTAAACACTCACTTGAGTTTGTAGATCGTGTACACATTTTCGCCAATCGATTTTATTTGCTTGAATACAAAATAGAGTCAATAAACTGCAATTAAAATTTTAATCACACTTTTCGTGCCATAGTGTTTTCAATGCAGCCAAAGCGGTCAAAAATACCCAATTGGATTGACTTGAAAGTTTGCCAAACTGTTGTCAGTAATATTTTACAGATAAATGCAGTAACATTAAATTTTTCTTTAATCCTCTCTTTTTTTGTGCAATTTTAAAACCATTTTGTTGTTTTTAGCGTCAAATAAATATTTCTTTACGGGCATATCTCTGACATTCGGACAATAATTATTTCCAATACAGGTGCTTTCGTTATCTGCAGTCAAGCGTTATCGAGAACAATTTACACATTGGATGGGTGATAACTGGAGAAATTAAAGTTAATCCCTACAACAACAGCGCAATAATAATGTCATAAGATCGCCTGAAGCCGACTCTGTTTTTTGATTACTACCATACCCGCGATATGAAGTGTAGCTCTGACCATATCGAGACTCGAGAAACCGACTTGAATGTTTTCTATCAAAGTCTGATGCTTGGAGAATAATATCCAGAACTTCTAGACAGAGTTGGTTTAATTTTTGTATAAATAACGCGAGTTTGTCGGTAGACGTTAATTTTCGATATAGTGTTGTATAGAAGAGATAAATTGTAATTATAAATAAACTATTGAATTTTTTATAAGCTGCTACATGAAAAACAAATAGTAATATATTGAGTAAAACAAAAACTTACTGAGAGAAATATTATTCTGCTTATGTTGGTCAACTTGGCCTCTGAGCGCTCTGAGCTTGCGCAGTTTGAGTTCCTGCGCATCGACGCGATCCCTCAATCTGCGTAGTCGCTCGCTCTCGGCATGGACGCGCTGCTGTCGCGCCTCCTGCTCCTTCAGGTACCTCAACCGTTGTTCTTTGGCGGCCAGCAGCTGATGCTGGGATTCGATCTGCGCTTGCTGCTGACAGGCCATCTCGCGCAGCTCACTCAACGTCAACTGCACTCCCTCTGATAGCTGTAACAAAAGTTTTTATCACAAAACTAAATACGTATACTATAAAAGCAAAAAAATTTAATAAAAAACAATAACGGATGAAAAATTATGAGACAAATGGAGTATATGAAAAGGCGATTGTCTTTTTACAACTGTATTGCCTCGCTGTTTGTCGACTTTAACTACCGAAACGTTAGTAATAAACATAGATACAATAAAGTAATAAAAATCATATCGATTCTCGGAGTAGACGTTGATCACGATTACGATTTTAACTGTATCAAACAAAACATTATTACAAAAAGAAATTAATATGCAATGAAATATCATGATAAAATATTAATATACAAAATTTATGAAGAATGAGTAAGTGGAAAACAATAAAATACAAATTATGATTATTTCTACTTTAGAATACACTTTTATCAATGCACTCAATAAGCTTTGTTATGAACTTAATATATTCATAACCTTTTTTGTAATACAGGAACAGGAACGAACACTAATACCTTTTAGGCACTAAAGTGTCACTCCGTTAGGACTAATATTTTATAATCTCTAAAGAGTAAAAATAAAAATATAAACAATCAATAAATAAGTTTTTCGAAAAAATTACTCCATTATTTTTTTTTGTAAAAATACCTCACTGTATTAGAAAAATTACTCCCTAACAATTTCCCACCAACTTTTTTCACATTTTACTCCTTTTTTTAATTTTTTCATATTAAAATATTATTTATATGGATGTATTTAAATATTGAAATGTATTTTTTAATTCTAATCAGCTTTTATTACTAACAATTTTGGAAAGTGTCAAAAATAATAGTACTTTACTCTGGCACAAAATTAATATTTTTTGACCAACCTCGTATACGACTGAAACAGATCGATATCTAATAGTTTCGTTTTATATTGTAGAACTTTTATTAAAAATAATAATAAAAAAAAATTCTATATGATTCCACTATATACATCAAAAATAGTATAGGGTCAAGATCTGACCACTGAGGTACACGATATACCCAATTTAACATTCTATAATCGTAAATTTATGTTTCCATTTCCTTCTCAACGAGCAAAACTTCATCAAATTTAGTGCCATATCTTTAATACCGTAATGCTTTTGTAGCAGCAGTTCATATTAAATCAGTCCAGCTAAATCTATCAACCACCGGTTAAATACATCAATCAATTCAGGCTAAATTAAATGCTTTCACTGAGTCGCGGAAGGCTGGCACAGCAGTTTCACCTGAGATAAGCTCCTCTGAACTATTTGTATTCGATTAAACATTGCATTTGTTATTCTAGATTTATCACTATAATCAAACAGATTAAGTGATAAAATCTTAGAGTAAGGAAGTATAGAGAGGATAGTAAACAATGTTTGGTGTCGCTATGATATGATCATGAATTATATCCAAAAATTTTAATTAGAGGGAAAGAGATGGCCATATTTTGAAAAGTAGAAAGAAGGACAAATCAAAAACATGGAGATTTATAGATTTTTCGTTGACGAATTCTATTTGTAGTAGTGATGGTTCATTGAGGAGCAAAAAAAGTCACTATAAAGGCTTAAGAACGGGAAAAAATCGGGACACATGTTAAATTGGGATTAGTGATTTAAAATCGGAACTGTCCCGCCTAAATCGGGATGGATAGTCACTTTATCAATATCTCTATTTTTGTATTTGTTTTACCAATTATTCAAGTTTTTATTTAAATTCATTCAAGTGTTAAAAGTGAATTTATTTTATAATAGGAAAAATAACTAAAATTTGTTTTTTATGTGGTTTTAAATATAAAAGAGGAAGTGGGGTTACGTAACACTCATAAATAGATATAGGATCTTAAAGAAAAAAAAATATATATAAAAATAAAGCTGCCATATTATTGTCGAATTAGACGCGTCAGGAAAAACTGATATTTTGTAAAAATCAGTAGTTTTAACTATTAAAATAAAAGTAAAAAAGTATTATTTGAAAATTGCTAAAGAATTTCATTTTCTTTGGGCTTTATTATAGAAAGAAACAATTTTTACCTTTATAGCTATATAAAATTCAGTTTGTTCAAATTTATTGATCTTTAAACGTATAAAAGATATAAAATATATTTAATAAAAACTATAAATCCGATATTATAAAAATATAGAAAGAAGGAAAGCTGCAAATATTCTCAACCCCTATCTCGAACCGCATTCTTTCTCATGTGGTAGAAATTTTAAATTAAAGGAAACTGGAAAGGATTCGGGACACAATTTCAATGAAATTTAATATTTACTTTGAGGTTTCCTTTAAAGAATGTTCAGACTCGAAATATTACATTATCACTCCAGCGCCTACATAAAAATTATACAATGATCGCGAGCATGAAATCAATTTAATTCCACAAGTAAATGAAAGATGGTGAAGTAAATTGGGTTATACACCGCACTATGAGGCAATGATGAATGAAAGGATTTTAAATGATTGGGTGGGTAATCTGATTAGAAATTCACGAAGTTATAATCTCTCGACGTATTTATTTGGATCGAGGGAAAAGATTTGTCGATACAAAATGTGAGATATAAAAATGAAATTCCATGCTTTTTTCTTTTTGTTTTCTAGAAAAGTATCTACTTGTTTCCTTGTACATTATTAATAGTTTTGTTACAAAATATTTGTTTAACAATGAATAAATGGAAACTATTATGGAACCGCGCCACATTTAAAGGACCCCTTATATATTATGCAGGCTGTAGTGGAGAATATTGGTTGTACGTAAATAGTAAACCGAATAGAGAGACGCTGGATGAAGAATTGGAGAGAACCGGTGGACCGCTTTGTGGTAGTTAAATTAAAAAGGAAATTTTAAACGAACGTATTGAGACCAGCGGTTATATATGGGCACTAAAAAGAGACATACGAATAAAAAATGGGTATAGCTGTCATGAGAATACGCGTATATATGTGTGTCAGAGAAAAAATATGAAAAAAAAAAAAAGATTTTTGTTAATGGTGAATTAAACTAGAAATAAATTGATGTTAAACGGAAGACCCAAAACCGATTAGAATTATTGAGACACATAATTTAATTTTTGAAATTTGTTTTGTTAATTTTAAATAAATAGCATTAAAAATAATTAAGTCATTATTTATAAAATCTCAATTGCAAACGAATATTTGTTATTAGTTAATAAAATAGAAGTGTGTTGTATTAAACTTTTTGAGTATATGAAAAACTGATATGGTTAATTTTTCAGTTAGCATCGGAAACTGAAAATTTCAAATATGCCAAATTGGATTGCTCGAGGGAGCTCGAGAGGTCTCGAGAGAAACGAGAAATTATCGTCGAGACATGTCACTATTTCATCTCATCTAGAATAGATATTTAAGAGAATATTTCCCTTTCGTCTCATTGAGAGTAGGCAATATCACTTATTAATACAAAAGATAGCAATTCGTACTATTAGTCCTTTGTTTATAGTAAGTAGAAATAGTCCTTCATAACATTTTAAGATTTTTTGCATTTTTTCACATATATTTCTGTAAAAAAAAATGTATACAAGATTTCATATCTTCAACAACTATTTCACGTCCGGAGTGCAACCTTTTATAAAACCCGATTTCCCTCCTGCATGTAAAATTATGTGTCGCTTCCTTTCTCCATCGGTATGTTTGATAGACTTTACCATATCATCTTGCCATATTCTCTAAATATATAAAATTCGTCCCTTCTTCTTTAAATTTAGAAAGTTAATTCTCTTGTACACGACAGAACTTCTTTCACAAAGGGCCTGTCTGTTATCCTCCTTTTGAAATTTGAAACCCAAGTTATGTATCACTTGCCATAGACTTGTTCTGCCAATGTCGTCAAATTTTCTATCTATTAATTCCGAGAGAATTGTATTTAAGGTCACATGTTCCTTGTTGGTTCTCATTCGATAAATGGTATCACGAATTTCAAATTTCTTTCCATCTGGAATATCTTTCGTTTTCAATGATGGGCGAGTTTTACGGTGATCTTCTTTCGGCCGTTCACTATTGTGATTTTGTAATATTCCTCTTAATTTGGTTTCACTAATTCCTAGCCTAGAGCATCGCATACGCGTTGTTGTACAGACATAACCGATTTTAAAGGACCGCCATTTTCTTTTTCATCCGTAAAATACTTATGTACACTACAAATTAGACTATCTACATCTAACACACGTTTAGGCATTTTTAAAATTTCTACTAAATATACAATATACATACAATGTCAACACTTGCAAAGAATCAATTCAACTGCAATATTTCTAACAAATTTAGTACCTACCCTAATGTTATTTTAATTTAAATCTGACCATTAGAGCAATTTTACCTTATTTCTTGGGAAGAGGCTTATTGGAATTGGTTGTTAATGACTAATTTGCATAATTTTGTGTTACATTACTAATTCAATTTAAATTCTTTGTAAAACGGATCACTTACAAAAAAAGGTTTTTGTAATAGTTTTTTTATTTAATTTTCTGCCTTAATTTTCATAGATATCTTGTATACATATCACATATTTAATTAGTATACATTGGGTAAGAAATAAGCATAAACTGGGTCAACAATAATGACAAGAAATCTTAAGATCTCAACAAAACATGTTTTTTTCTAGTGTTTTCATGAAAAATTACCAGCAAGCTAAAGTATCATTCTCTGTTCCAAGTCTCTAGATATAATTAGATACCTACTAGATACAGAATACTGTCAAAACAAAGGGAAGAATTATATAAAAGAATCCTCTCAAATATCAAACAAATCTGGTTCTGGGTATTATTTCAAGTTTGATATTTTATGAACAGTGGGTTATAATAATTATTATTCTAACATAACTCCGTAGTTACCATATTATGCAAATATAAATTCAACATTTGGTCATTTAGTTTTAATTACGTCTTAAATTATGAATTCAATTTCACATTTTATATAGAGGTAAATGGAAATGTATTTAATCTAACTCAACTTAAATAAATAATTAAAATGGCGAAGAGAATATGAGAATATGTTTTTCAA